TCGTGCCCTGGAAGGGCATGTCGCGGAAGTGGGTGGACTCCCTGACATGGTGGACTGTCATCGTCGGACCCCGTGCACGAGAAAAGCTGTGGTGCGAATCTTCTGCTCCATGCATCGCCTCGACAGCTGTGATCCAAGCCGCGAAGGCTCCGCTGACTGGAAGCACGTACCAAACGCCAGCATGAAATGCCAGCGACTGCTGGATGGGTTTCCACACGTCGTCAAGGGAATTTCCACACGTCGTCAAGGGAATGTACGAGGAGGAGGGGGAGGACACGGAGGAGGAGGAGGTCGAGGAGGAAAAGGAGAAGGCGGAGGAGGGAAAGGAGGAGGTCGAGGAGGAGATGGATGAGGAGGAGGAGGAGGAGAAGTTCAAGGAGGAGGAGGTCGAGGAAGAGGAGGAGAAGCAAGAGGAGTAGGGGAAGGAGGTCGAGGAGGAGGAGGAGGAGGACGTGGGGGGAGCGAGGAGGAGGAGGAGCAGGAGGAGGAGGAGGAGATCGAAGAGGAGGAAGAGGAGGAGGTCGAGGATGAGGAACAGGGGGAGGAGGAAGGGGTGGAGGAAGGGGAGGAGGAGGAGCAGGAGGAGGAGGAGAAGGAAGAGGGAAAGGAGGACGAGAAAGAGACGGATGATGATGATGATGCTGCTGATGATGATGATGATGAGGAGGAGGAGGAGGAGGAGGATGTCGAGGAGAAGGAGGAAACGGGTGAGGAGGAGGAGGAGGAGCAGGAGGAAGAGGTCGAGGAGGAGAAGGAGGAGCAGAAGGCCGAAGAGGAGGGAGGAAGAGGAGCAGGAGGGAGACAGCTGGGAGAATGAGGAGGATGAGGAGGAGTAAGATGAGGAGGTCCAAGAGGAGGAGGTGGAGGAGGAGGAGGAGGAGAAAGATCAGGTGGATGAGGAGGAGCAGGAGGAGGAGCAGGAACAGGAGAAGGAGAAGGAGGAGAAGCAGGAGGAGAACCAGGAACAAAGCGGGGGAAGGGAGGAGGACGAGGTCGAGGATGAGGAGGAAGAGGAGGAGGAGAAGCAGGAGGAAAGCGGCGGGAAGGAGGAGGAGGAAGAGGAGGAGGAGGAGGAAGAGGAGGTCGATGAGGAGGAAGAGGAGGAGGAGGAGGTTGAGGAGCAGGAAGAGAGGGAGGGAAATGAGGAGGTCGAGGAGGAGGGAAAGGAGAATGAGGAGGAGGAGGAGGAGGAGGAGAAGAAGGAAGAGGAGGAGGAGGAGGAGGAGGTCAAGGAGGAAGAGGAGGAGGAGGAGGAGGAGCAGGTGGAGGAAGAGGAGGGGGGAGGAGGAGAAGCAGAGGAGGAAAAGCTGGGGGAAGGAGGAGGAGGAGCAGGAGGAGGAGGAGGAGGAGGAGGAGGAGGAGGTCGAGGAGGAGGAGCAGGAGGAGGAGCAGGAGGAAGAGGAGGGGGGAGGAGGAGGAGGAGCAGGAGGAGGATGAAAGCGGGGGGAAGGAGGATGAGGCGGAGGAGAAGGAGGTTGAGGAGGAGGAGAAGGAGGAGGAGGAGGAGAAGGAGGAGGGAAAGGTCGAGAAGGAGAAGGAGGAAGCTTGGCTCGGCCGCCCGGATGCCAGAGCCGCGAGCCCGCACCAGGAGACGCCGTGCACACGCTTGCGCGTCCGACAGGGGCGAACGTCACAGGGGCGAGCGGGCAGCCAAGGGTGCCGTCCTAAGCCATCCCCTCTCGAAGACGCGGCCAAGACGAGGATCACATCGGGTGAGGATAACTATCGGGGGTGCGTAAGACTCGGGCACGGGGAACTCGGGTTGGCCTGACGGGGGCCATCATAAAAATGACGAGACCCAATGTGAAATTTGACGGTGGCTCCCGCTGCAGACAATCCACGAAAACGGGACCGTCAAATCCAGGACGCACTCGTCAAAAAATAGTCGCAAACCCGAATTCCGGCTTTCTCGAATCTTACGTTTCCCTGGAACTAGAGAGTCTCTGAGATCCGGCGGCGCTGGAGGTGCCCAGGGCGCAGCGGCCTTCTCAGGGCGTTCCGAAACGCTCCTGGAACCGATTTATCCTCGTCCTAGCCCCGTCCGACCCTCCTGGACAATTAGGGAGCACTTCCTCAATCTGAGTACTATTCTCCGCTCCCCTCGATCCGCATTGTTTACATGAACAAACTCTACAACTTAATATCTTGACGCTTCTGAGCGGCAATGAGGTTCGCCCGCTGCTCGTCTCTTCCGCCTTCTTGCTCTTTTTCGTTTCGCCCGTCTCCCTCTGTGCGCTAATTTAGGCCGTTGCATCGACGCTTCGTTCTGACGGCGCCCGGCGTTTTCCGGTACGATCGCGATCAAAAAGTACCCCTACCAGCCCATCCAGACACGACGCCCATGAGATTGACAGGGGGAGAGAGGAAGAGACACGCATAGTCAAATAACGAATGAGGCTTGGGAAGCTCCGTGGTCATCTCGAGCCGTCTTGGAGCGGTCTTGGGGCCGCTTGGAGCATCTTGGGAGACATCTTGAGCCAGCCTGGGCTATCTGAGCCATCTTGGACATCATCTTGGGCTCTCTGAGGCCTCTCGGGGGCTTCTTGGGTGCCTCTCGGGTGCCTCTTGGGAGCCATGGAGGGCATCTTGGGGTCATCTTGGAGGCGGTCGGTCAAAAGAGGGTGGGTCCTCGATTTGCCTCCTCCCCCCTCAGAGGCCACAATCCTCGTGAGGGGTGTCAAACATTGCCCCCCCCAGGGGCCGAAGAAAGGAGCCTCTGACCGGTCACGACCGCCCCCGTCCAGGTCCAGGGGAGGGGGCAGGAGAAGGGGTAAACCCCTCCCCGAAAGGGAACCGGGGATTTTGGAAGAGGAAGCCATCGTTAGACCACCTGTCACCCAAAGGGCTGGTGGGATTTAAATGTCAAGCGGCATGCTTTATGCGTATGTTGTCCAATGAACGAATTTCCTGTGATTCGAGATGGTGCTCGCGCTGTATCGTTGACCTCATTTTCGGATCGACGCGCTGGTCCCGTCGTACAGAATGGCGCTCTTCCTGCTCCCCCTGCTCCTCCTGCCCTTCCCTTTCTGGGAGGGGTTTACCCCTCCTCCTGCCCCCCCCCCCTGGACCTGGACGGGGGTCAGAGGCTCCTTTTTTCGGCCCCTAGGGGGGCCAATGTTTGACACCCCTCACGAGGATTGTGGCCTCTGAGGGGGGAGGAGGCAAATCGAGGACCCCCCCTCTTTTGACCGACCGCCTCCAAGATGACCCCAAGATGCCCTCCATGGCTCCCGAGAGGCCCCCAAGAGGGCTCCAAGAGCGCCCCAAGAGGCCCCAAGAGGGCTCCAGGAGGCACCCGAGAGGCACCCAAGAAGCCCCCGAGCGGCCTCAGAGAGCCCAAGATGATCTCCAATATGGCTCAGATAGCCCAGACTGGCTCGAGATGTCTCCCAAGATGCTCCAAGCGGCCCCAAGACCGCTCCAAGACGGCTCGAGATGGCCGCGTAGCTTCCCAAGCCTCCTTCGTTGTTTGACTATGCGTGTCTCTTCCTCTCTCCCCCCGTCAACTCTCATGGGCATCGTTTCTGGATGGGCTGGTGGGGATACTTTTTGATGTGTCAAGATGCTATTCCTGCTCATCCTCTTGCTCATCCTCCACCCCCTCCTCCTCCTCCCCCTCCTCCCCCTCCCCCTCCTCCTCCTCCTCCTTCTCCTCCTCCTCCCTCCTCCTCCACCAGATGTACACAGCTCTCCTTGTCGGACTTCGCACAACATGATGGGGTAGTTTGGAGGATTTCATGTCCGCTATGACACCAATCGGCGAATAGAGAAACAACAGTGCACTGGGGAAGGGATGGGTGGGAGGGGTAGGATGTCAGACATGGGGCGACTCACCAAACTGGTTCCCCCCTCCCCCCAACCACCCACGCACTCCCACACCTGGGGCTCGGATGAGCCGGGCAAGCGCCCCCCCTCTCCTCCTCCTCTTCCTCCTCCCTGGCGGAGTCGCTGAAGACGCGCCCCACTTACCATATTATCCGATCAGGGCGCGCTTCTGCGGAGTTCGAGGTCTCCTAGATGGGGTCGGAGTAGATGGGGTCGGAGGATCTCGCCGCATCGCCAATACATCGGCGACGCGATGGCGGCGTCGGCGGTGCATCGGCGACGTCGGCGTGGAGAAAATCGGGCCCCACATCGAGCCTCATCGCCGATGCATCCGCGATGCGGCGCGATCCTCCGCCCCCATCTACTCTGACCCCATCTACGAGGCCTGAAAGAACGCTGACATGGTGGCGTCCAGCACGGTCGGGGGGCAAGCTAGAGAACGGTCGGTCACGGCGTCCAGCACGTCGCGATCGCGGTCGAGGTTCGCAACGGATGCGTCTGCATCAAAAGGCCGAAGAGACGCAACGGCGCCGCGCCGACCGCCGTTTGACACCCTGGCGAGCTGCCCAATCCAATGTCGGGAGCGGTCGTGATGATTTCCGGAGAGGGGGGAGAGAGACTTATAGAGGCAACACTCTGAGCAGTGTCCGACACGATGGGCAGCGGGCAGCTGTCCAATCTAAGGTCTGCAGCGCACGTAACATCATCGGGGGTGGACGAGACTCAACGATAAAGCGACAAGCTGCGACCCACGCCCCCCCTTCGGAGAACAGATGTGCACGTATGTAAGGCAACGTACATCGTCATCGTCCACTGTTTACAGCACGGTGTCGTGGATTGGCGCGTCCACTGGGCACTGACCGCGTCAAAAACGACGCTCCATGCGAACGGCGAGGTAGCTAAAAAAGGATGGGGGGGCTACTTGCCCGCACACGCTCCAATGCGTAAACACATATATCTCCTGTCCACAGTCCGCCCGTACTCGTCGCCTCCCGAGCACTGGCCTGTGCGATACCACGAGCCGGACCGCAGATGCTAGCGGCGACGATGCAGGCACTCGAGGGTCGAGAGGCGGAATGCGCAGGGCTCTTATCTCGACCTGCTGGATGTGGTGCTGCTGCTCCCATCTGCTTCATGTGCCTGCAACCCGGGGCCTCGAGCAGCGCCGCGCGGACCGCAATGACCGCCACCTCCACCGGCATCCCGTGCAGGTCCAGCACGCCCTGGCGCTTCCAGGGCTCGAAGGCCTCGACCTGAAGAGGCGTGCGGCATGCCCAGCATGCCCTCTGAGTTGTTTGATGCGGAAGCTGCTAATGATACCCTGACGCTGCGAGTGAGTGTCAAAATCCACCTTGGGCCCCTCCCCTTCGCTCCTTTACTCCGTCAATGTCGTCCTTAGAAGAGAAAGTAGCAGCATGAGCATCACCTTGCGGAGATCAGCGAGATTTTCATTGGCTCGGCGCTGGATCCCTCCACACCTGGCGCTCAAAGCTCGCCAGGGCGGCGCCAGAGGCCTCCAGAGAGCTTTAATGCAGATCCAAGACATCCGCACGGACGTCCGAAAGCTTATGTGCATGTTGTCCTTCGTTTTTCGATGTCCTCCGTCGCGGGCGGCATCGCCTTCCTCCTCCTTGTTGTTGCCAATTTTGCATGGACCGTCCAGGTGCCGTGGATCCCGCTTGGTCACATTAGCATGTCCATGCTCCTTCCTTTTCTCGTCCTCCATCTCTTCCTCCTCTTCCTGATCCTCTCCCCGTAGCTCACTGAGAGAGAGAGAGAGAGAGAGAGAGTGAGAGAGAGAGGAAGAGAAAGAGACAGAGAGAGAGAGAGAGAGAAACACAAATCCGCCGGCCCCCTTGTGGGGCCACCAGGCTGTAGGCCCGTGATTCGCAGTTTCCTGTACCAGTCGTAGGTTGTAGTTTCCAGTGTTACAGTTCTGCTTCTTGCTGGTTACTGTAACTAGTTGACTTATTGCTGGTTACTGTAACTAGTTGATTGACCGCGCGAGGGGGGGGGAGGCCCAAAGTGGCTTTTTAGCGTCCCCTGGGCGCGTTGTCTGAATTGTTGGGAGGGCTCGAAATCAACACCCCTCACGCAGATCCGCGGGGTCAGGGTCCAAAAACACATGGGATTTGCCACATTTCTGAAATCCGGTGCCACCCCTCACGCAGATCCGCGGGGTCAGGGTCCAAAAACACAGGGATTTGCCACATTTCTGAAATTCGGTGCCACCCCTCACGCAGATCCGCGGGGTCAGGGTCCAAAAACACAGGGATTTGCCACATTTCTGAAATTCGGTGCCACCCCTCACGCAGATCCGCGGGGTCAGGGTCCAAAAACACAGGGGATTTGCCACATTTCTGAAATTCGGTGCCACCCCTCACGCAGATCCGCGGGGTCAGGGTCCAAAAACACATGGGATTTGCCACATTTCTGAAATTCGGTGCCACCCCTCACGCAGATCCGCGGGGTCAGGGTCCAAAAACACATGGGATTTGCCACATTTCTGAAATTCGGTGCCACCCCTCACGCAGATCCGCGGGGCCAGGGTCCAAAAACACATGGGATTTGCCACATTTCTGAAATTCGGTGCCACCCCTCACGCAGATCCGCGGGGTCAGGGTCCAAAAACACATGGGATTTGCCACATTTCTGAAATTCGGTGCCACCCCTCACGCAGATCCGCGGGGTCAGGGTCCAAAAACACAGGGATTTGCCACATTTCTGAAATTCGGCGCCACCCCTTACGCAGATCCGCGGGGTCAGGGTCCAAAAACACATGGGATTTGCCACATTTCTGAAATTCGGTGCCACCCTTCACGCACATCCATCGCAAGGCGTGGTAACCCAAACTGCGAGAACTCCCTCGGCCCTTTAATCGCAAGGTGTGGTAACCAAGCCCGTAAACCATACACGTCTTACCAATCGCCAGGTGTGGTAACCCCTCTTGTGATCAGTTGGTTTTGCTGATTGCGAATCGGCTTCGCATGAAGTTTCGATACTGCTTCACGACAGCGCCAAGGCCTCATGACTTAGCTCTTCCATGGCCCATTCTCCGAGAGAGGGGGCCGGCGGCAGGGGGCGAAGCCCTTACGGATAATAAAGAGAGGTAGAGAGAGAGAGAGAGACCCTTTGGACGCCCGAATTGGGTACGGAAAAAATAGACACAATGCCCAACAGCTGTTGTCCCAAACCAACAGCGGCCACTGTTGGGCGGGCGGCCTCCTGTCTCAAATGGACACAGGCCGCGGCGGCGCGGACAGCGAGTCCTTTTCAAAATGAACAGGAACTGCTGTTGGGCATCGTACCCATTCTTTCCGTGCCCATTTCGTTCAAACCGAGGGGATCCTGGGAGATTTCATGGCCCCGGCCATGATACCCACCCCCCTGAGTCATTCCTTCTCGTGGCCGCCCCCGAAAACCCTCTTTTCGGCTACACGCAAGAGTGACCCTGGGTAAGAGTGACTTTTGGTGCGCGGCTCCTTCGGGGCCGGGGGGGGGGGGGCAAACGCGAGAGCGCAAGACGGTACCTACTGTCGCATCGCGTTCGGCGAGCGGGGTCTACCCAATGGGCCCGCACCAGAAGCCACCCCGGCGCAGGGGCACTCTTGCGTGTAGTCGATCTTTCTCCTCCCGAGCCCCGGCGCCTTCCCGTGGGACACACTTCTCCGTCCTGAGCCCTAATTTCGCGCTGTTCGGCCCTGGAGGGGAGGGGTGCAGGCCTCGAGGGCCTCGCAGTACGCGCGCATGGCCAGGTCGTCCTTGTGGGGGGCAGACTGAGGAGCGCGACGAGGACGGGGGGAGGAGGAAGAGGAGGAAGAGGAGGACTAGTGTAAACACAAGAGTCGTCAACGATGTTGTAATGAACCCTCCCTCCAAGCTCCCTCCTCATAGGCCCCTGCAACGGCTCGTTTCCATTGAGATAACTGCCTCGTTGGAAGACAACCGTGTGAAAACCTTGAACCATGACAAAACATTGTTCTCGGGATTTCCACGCCACGGATCAAGCTGACTGCCGCGTCCGGACAATCTGGAACCATGCCAGAACGCCATTTTGGGGACTTCAACACCGCGAATCAAAATAACTGATGCGCCCGCAAAATCTGAACACTTCCAAAAACACAAATTCGGGTACGATGATGATGAGAATCCGTGAAACTCTTGCAATTTGTTTAAACGGATGTGCGCGGCGCCTAGGCGAGAACCACATTGTGAAAAAGAACCGCCCTCACTTCGTGAAGCTCTTGCACTTAAGACGAATGTGCGCGGAGCTAAAGCGATAGCCACATGTTGAAAAAGAACCGCCCTCAATGCGTGAAACTCTTGCAATGTTGTAAAACGAATGTGCGCGGTGCTGATGCGAGAACCACATTTTGAAAAAGGACCAGCCTCAATCCGTGAAGCTCTCGCAGATGTTTTAAACATATGTGCGCGGAGCTAAGGCGAGAACCACGTTATGAACACAACCCGCCCTGAATCCATGAAAGTTGAAACTCTTGCACATGTTGGAAACAAATTCGCGCGGCGCTGGAAGTAGATTGGACTTCCCTCAATCCAGGCGTTGGAAGTAGATTTGACTTCCGCCCGCCCCCCGAAGAGGAGGGAAAAGGGGAACCCACTCGATCATTGAAGTAGGAAGGCGCCTAAAGTAGCTCAGAATCCGAGGATCACAAAGTGCCTAATTTCAACGACCGGCGAGTATGACAATCTTCTGCCTCCGGGGGCCCTCCCTGGACCCCAGGACCGCCAACAAAAAGGCTCGGGATGAGAGGCCAGTCCTCGGCTGGGTGCGAATTTTATGGGGGGGGGCAGCGAGGGCTGCAGAAGAGGGGCCCTTTCGGGCCCTTGTAAAAGAGCCCCTTCGGGCCCCGACGGGAGCTGGTAGGCCCCGAAAAGGGCACCTTTCCCCCCCCCCCCCTTCCCCGATTCATCGCCCCCGCACCAGTTCGCGCCAAACCCGGGGAAGTGGTTCCCACCTCCGGGGGCCCATGCTCGGTGGAAGGAGGGAGGCGCGGCGGGCCGCTCTTAGTAGGGGATATGTCACCCCTAGCCCAGAATTTGGGAGTTTCTCGAATGGGCCAGAAATTTGGGGCACAATCCTGGGACATGCGATGGGGGGCGTCCATCCTCGATACGGGTGCGTCCGAATAGCTCACTCTGGGGTGTATACCAGGGTTTCCCCCTCGCTCTGAACGGCCAAACTTTTCAAGCGGAGCTCGGGGATGTGGGGAGAAAGATCGCCTGCGAATTCTAGCCGCGTGGTGGTTCGCCAGGGAGGGGGGAGGCGGGGCACGGGTCGGACTCGTGAGCGCTTGTGGCACGGGTTCCTCGAGAGGATTCGCGGAAGGGCGAGGATCCGAAAGCAAGAGAGGATCCCAAGGGCGAGGATGGTGGACAGGTCCCTCGAGAGGTTCCTTGTGGCAAGGGGTCCGGAAGCATTCGCGGATTCCTCGAGAGGACCTCCACGGAAGGGCGAGGAGCCGAATGTGGAGCAGCAGGGGCCGGAAAGCAGCGGAGGGGGGCGCGAGGGACAGGGAGCGAGGCTCTAAGGTGGAGCAGGGGGCCCTGAAGCCGAGGAGGCGTTTTCGGGCTGGACGTCCTGCAGCAAGGTCCTTCTCCCACGCACTCCTTCTCCTCCCTCCTCCTCCTCATCCCTCACATTGCATCTTCCTTCTGCCACGCACTCCTTCTCCTCCTCCTCCTCGTCCTCCTCCTCCTCAGCGTTTTCCCTACGCAACAGAGGCGCGGGGTGAGATCAGCCCGCAGGGCTTGGGGAGAGACTGGCCGTCGGCTGTCCGCGGTAATTACAGGGGGAGGAGAGAGCATGGCGACGCGGCGGCGACTTCAGTGGCGGCTCACCCCTCCTGGTCTAGGCCAGCTAAGCGACGAAACGAAACAGGTTTTACACGAGATGGCATAGCGACCTTTCGCGGTGTTTTACTCGGGCCGCCAGCGCGGCACGTCACATTGGAAACGAGAACGCTCACGCGCGACCTCACGCGGAATGCTTACGCGCCAATGTCGGCGAAGACGGCCCCCTTGTTTTCTTTTCGCCCAGGTGAAGGCGGATGGGGCGGGGAGGGTCGGATGAGGTCGGCTTCACGCCATGAGTTCATATACATATATAAACTTGTGCGTATGTACACACGCAGACAACCCACGACCAACTTTGCATGTACCTGCAGAGAGGGTGGAGGTGTAGAACAGCGGTGGCACCCAGTGGTGACTTCCTGAGGCCCAGGAACAACCCATTGGAGGGTTCGTATTTTGTTTGTGGCGTAAACTCGTGGAATGCTGGGGTCGACCCGATGCCACCGCACTTGCTGCCGTGAGGCGGCCGCCGACCTGGTAGGGCGGCCCCTGGAATTACTGGGGCACGGAGCCGCTCTGCTCCTGCAATAGCCCGGCACACGCTGACACTGATGGCGCGCGGATGCGTCCGCCTCCTCCTTCCTCCCTACAGTAGGGGCCCGACCACAAAAAACCTTCAACAGAATGCAACCATGAAACCCCAGGACGTCTCCTGTTTTTGGTGAGGGGGCGCCACGCTTTCCACCGCAAAACCATCGAAACCCAAGAAACGCAGGGCATCCTGGAAGCCAGCAGAGTGTTTCTTGGCATGGGCCCACACTGTAATCCCACCAGCCCTCTGGGCGTCGGTGGTTTAGGGCGTTTCCTCTTCCACCCCTCCTTCTTCCACTTCGGGGAGGGGTTCATCACTGTTCCCTATTAATAAACACCCCCTCCCCCAGGCGACTGGGGGCCAACCCGAGTCCATGACAACACCCCCCCACCATCCCTGTGTGAAAAAAAAACCATACAAAACACACTCTGCCTCCAAATTCGGAACATGCGCAGCCAACCCGATGCGGCCCACCCACCATCCCTGTCAAAAAAACAATACAGAGTACACTTGGCGGCGGCGGCTGCGGCGGCTGCGGCGGCGGCGGCTGCGGCGGCTGCGGCGGCGGCGGCGGCGGCGGCTGCGGCGGCGGCGGCGGCGGTGGCGGCAGCGGCTGCGGTTTGGTAGCGGGGGCGGCGGCGGCGGCGGCGGCGGCGGCGGCGCGGCGGCGGCGGCGGCGGCATGCGGCGGCGGCGGCGGCGGCGCGGCGGGGGCGGCGGCGGCGGGCAGCGGCGGCGGCGGCGGCGGCGGAGGATTGGTCCCCAGTAGCTGCCCATCCAAAGACGACTGCTGAATGCTGAGGCTCGGGCCAGACTCGGGCGCTACGTATGTGTTGGGAGGGCCCAAAACGGCCTCGGCGAGGAAGCAACAATCATTGGTTTTACTACGGTTTTGGCATCATTTTGGCATCCTGGGGGGGGGACCGTAATTCAGGACCCCCCCCCTTCGTTGACCGATATCATCCAAGATGGCCCCAAGAGAGCCCCTAAAGCTTCCAAGAGCGCCCCGACAAGGCACCCAAAGGAGCCCAGACGGGCCCAAGAGGCGCCCAGGAGGCCCCAAGAGGCCCCAGGATGGCCCCAAGATAGCCCCAAAATGGCCCCAAGAGACCCCCAACAGACCCCCAAGAGGACCTCAAGCGGCCTCCCCGAGGCACCCAAGACGCCCAAGAGTCCTCAGGACCGCCAAGAGACCCCCGAGACGTCCCAAGGGGCTTCAAAACAACCGCCCACGAGATATCCCAAGGGGCTCCGAGAGGCATTCAAGAGACCTCCAAGAGACCCGAAGAGGCTTCACGAGGATCCCCGACGCCCCCAAGATCCCCCCAGACGCTCCAAGTGGTTTCCAAAACAACCCCCAGGAGACATCCCAAGATGAACATATGTCCGCCCTGTTTCCTCCTCCTTCTCCTTGTCCTTCTTTTTCTTCTTCTCCTCCTCCTCCTACTCTCCTCCTCCTCCTCCTCCTCCTCCTCCTCCTCCTCCTCCTCCTCCTCCTCCTCCTCCTCCTCCTCCTCCCCCTTATCAGTCTACGCATCATCCGAGAACCAGCACCATCAGCAACAACAGCAGCAGCACTAGCAACAGCAACAGCAGCAGCAGTACCAGCAGGAGCAAGAACACCAACAATAACACTTGCAACCTTCGCCACAAAAGGTCTCCCAATTCACCGTTGTTGCCCGCTCCGGTTCACTATGTGAGTCTCTTCTTCCCTTCTTCCGTCAACTTTCCTGGGCATCGTTTCTGGATGGGCTGGTGGGGATACTTTTTTGGTCGCGGCCGCAACCGAAGGCGCAGGCGGCGGGTCGGGCTGGTGGGGATACTTTTTTTTTGGTCGGCGGCCGCGCGACAAAGGTCAGCCGGCAACAGCGATGTCCGGGGCAACGGAACACGGCAAGCTGGTGGGGATACTTTTTTGGTTGGCGGCTCCAGGACAAGGGTCAAGAAGCTGGGGGGCGGGGGGAGGACAGGAGACATCGCGCAGCACGCAGGAGGGAGGGCGGCAAACAACAAGCGCTGGCAAGGGCCGAAGCTGGCGGGCGTTCCCGGGAGTGGGGACGAGAGGGAAGGATGCGGCTCCTTCCATGACCGAAGCTTCCCTCACTCCACCGCCGCCTTCCTCCACGCCTCACCCCACCCGCCTGCCCCCCTCCTGCTCCGTGCCCCCTCCTCCCACCCGCCCCCTGCCCACCCCCGGTCGCATCCCAGACCCACTGCGAGCCCGAGGCGGGCACCCGACGACTCCGAATCCACCGCCTATACTCCCCGCCCCGGGCGCCGGGGCCGCCCCGCGAGGCTGGGGCCCGAGGGCGTGGCGCTCTCTAAACCCGGGCCGCGGGCCCTGGCCAACTCCCGAGGTCGACGAAGGGCTCTCCTCCGCCATGGGGCCGCCGTTCCAGCGGGGGGGCCTCGGTGCTGGTGTCGGCTTTCCGACGGTGCGGGGGACGAAAAGCCGGCACCAACACCAAGACCCCACTGGAAAAGTGGGGGGCTGCGGGGGCAGGGCGGCCCAACGGAGCCTTGAACACCTGATGTGGCTGGTGCTGCTCGCCGAGTTCACAGGCCATGGGGCTCGCGTGGTATGTATATATATATATATATTCTCATACGCACCTCTCCGAGGGAGTAGAGCTCAGAGGCGATTAATGCGCACGTCGTCCGCGATTTTTCTGGCCGTTTCGCTCGGGACATCCTCGAAATTCTGAAAATCGGTGGCACCCCTCACGCAGATCGTGACGTCAGGGTCCCAAAACACATGGGAATTTCAACATTTTAACATAAAATCTTCAAAACACATGGTAATTTCAATAATTTTGACCCCGATTCTCAGAGAATGGCGGTTTCGCCTGAGACATCCTCCCAAACTCGAGCCCCAGACCCCTCCTCGGAGCCTCCTGGGGGCCTCCTGGAACCTCCTGGGGCCTCCTGGGGCTTTCTGGACCTTCTGGTACCCCAGACCCCGCCTCGGAGCCTCCTGGAGTTCTCCTGGGCCTGCTGAGGCCGCCTGGGGCCTGGGGCCTCCTGGGGCTTCAGAACTACATGCACACACAGAGACACAAATCACGCCCAACACATCACACGCTAGACAAACATAACATACACACACAACACCGACAACACACAAAAAGCACGCACCACACAAAGCACACATCACACACACAACACTCACAATCCTGGGGCCTCCTGGAGCCTCTTCTGGTATCCAAGTCGGGCCTCCTGAGGCTTCCTGGGGGGCCCTGGTACACACATCGCAAGGTGTGGCAACCCCACTTGCGCTCGAGTGCGACTTCGCTGTTGCATGTCACTCCTGCTTCAAACGCCCCTTCAGCTTGTTGTATGAGCCTGGGCACACACGTGCCACTTGTATATATGGATCTATAGATATGTGTGTCTATAAAACGCTCCATGGGGCCCATGGCGCCCCAAGGGCCCATGGGGCTGCCATGGTCCGCGGGGATCGCAAGGCCGAGAAACCACGTCTCAGGGCGCCCATGGGGCCCGCGCGGCTCGCTGGGCTCGCGCGGCGCATGGACCCATGCGCATTGCGGCGTGGCCCAAGAAACATTTCTGTTCTTGTGGTGTTCATGGGGCTGGCGAGGTTCGCAACCCATTGAAATCCTAAGGTACGCGTTCATCCTACGCGCGCAGAGCTGGCATTCACCGACGCCGGAAACGTGAGCCAGAAGACACGGGCGACGGCATTCAACACAGACTGAATGTTCAAGAGGGGATCTTGGTCTTGGTGAAGGGGGCACAGCGAGTGGAGGGGCAGGGGAGAGGGGAAAGGATCCGTGGACTGGCGCGCGGGTGCCAGATCCACGGATCGGGGAAAGCACCCGCCGAAGCATGGCGCCAATGCTGTCCGATTTGGCGACGCAACGCGCCGATTCCTCACGGAAACGGGACCCGCCGCTAATCCACGCGCCTTCATCCACGTTCGTGCTGCATCCACGGTTTAGAGGCAGCCCCTGGATAAGCACGGGGAGGAAGACGATGAAGAGGATCAGGAGCAAAGGACAAACTGCATAAGATCAATTTTCGGAGATCCGCCCCGACTTCTTGGATCTTCGCTGAAACCCCCTCCCTGGCGCGGGGAGCGCGCCAAGGGCGGCGCTGGAGGCGGCGCCAAGTGGGTCCAGCGCAGATCCAAGAGATCTGCGCGGAAATCCGAACCGTTGTGTTTATGCAACCGTTTCTTCTTCGATGATTTTTGTTGCACTGCACCGCTGGTAGATGGGATCCGAGGATCGCGCCGCATCTCCGAACTCCCCCTCCGTGACTCCTCTTCCTCGTCGTCCATACTCATACCTCCAGGCTCCCTCCTCATCGCCCCGCCTCGTCACTCCTGACCTCCTGGTCTCCCGAGCCCCCCGGAGCTCTCCGCAGGTATCGAAGTCACGTCGAGGCCTCCAGCGGTACCCAGAGGCCTCGCGGAGGCAAACAGCAGAAGACAAAAAACAAAATCCAAACACCCCAATCCTCGATGCGAGGACGGCCTGTTGAGATACGGGCCGCCCTCCAAAGCGAGGAGGGCCAGGTAGGGAAAGAAGAGGAGGGCGCAGGGACGCAGACACTCAAACTAGCTCGTCCTTGAGATATCAGCGGTCCTCCATGGCAAGGCGGGCGAATCGCAGGAGGGGGGAGAATGACTGCCGGTATCTCACCTCGCCTGTCATGATCGATCCCCCCCCCCCTCCCGCCACCAACCTCCTCCCTGGAGCCTCCATCGTCCCTCATCCTCCCTTTCCCTCGCCCCCCTCCCCCTCCTCTATCCCCTTCCCTCCTCTATCCCCTCCTAGAAGCCCTTGACTGTGGACTCGCCGCGATCCCCCCTCCTCCTGGGATCGGCCGATCCTGGATCCGCGAACCAAAATAGTCGAGAGGGGGGACTGGCTCAAGGGGGAAATCTTGACCCGGAGCCGACGCGACAGGTCGACAGGTCGCCGATGGCGAAGCCCAGCGAGCCTGGGCAGGTTGGGGCAGGCAGGCACCCATCGGCAAGGAGTTGGCGACTGGTGGTCGATGTGCCCCCCCCCCCTAGCGTCAGTCCCTCCCTGTCGGCGTCCCTGACGAGCGAGGCGGGGGCAGTGAGGAGGAGAAGGCCTTCTCAGAAGGCGGCGGGACTTCTCAGAGACCCTCGCGCCTTCTCATGCATGTTCTGCATGTTCGGGGAGAGCTCAGAGAACTTCTGAGAAGGCCTCGGGACTTCCGCGCCTGCTGAGAAGGCCATCTCCTTCTCACTTCCCCCAGGGCTCGCCGCAGACTTGCGGTTCAAAGATGGGGCCCCGAGAGATGAGGCTTTACCATCGAGTGGACCCAGACAATGGAGGTTCAGCTTCGGAGTGCTTTCCTACCCTCAGGGTTGAGGGGAACGACCGGGGGGAGGGGGGGAACGGCTCAGGGGGGAAGATCGATCTGGCATCGCCGATGGCTCGGCAATAGGCTTTTGATACTCAAACCGCATGGTCGAGCAAGGTCGGCCAGCGGGCCCCCGCCAGCGATCCCGTGGGCGACTGGGGGTCAATGCTTTCGCCACCCCTGAGCCTAACATCCTCCTGTAACGCTGCCTCCGATCGCACAGGGGGGTGGGGGGAGGGGGGAAGGCTTACCTCTGTAGAGGGCGCCAGCCCTACCTCTGTAGCGAGGGCCCGCACTTTCTGAGAAGCAGGGGTGCTTTCAAGAAGCTCCCCTCCCCCCCCCCACACCCCCGTCTGCGCGTGGCCGACTCCCCTCGGGGGCCCACCTTGGACCCGCCGACCTCCGCCTCCGCGGTGCCGCGCGCTGGCGCGCCGCCGCTGCGGGCCGCTGCCCCCAGGCCAAGGGGCGGACCGTCCTGGTCGCCCGCCGCGAGAGCCAAGATCACCGCCCGGTACACCGCCGCGTCTGGCCTCACTTCCGGCCCTGCTCGTGATGCTCCACCTCCTTCTCCTCCTCGTGAGCCCCCCCCTCCTCCTCCTCCTCCTCCTCCTCCTCCTCCTCCTCCTCCTCCTCTGCTCCTCCTCCTCCTCCTCCTCCTCCTCCTCCTCCGCTTCCTCCTCGTAGTTACCCCTAGTCCCCCGTCCCATGCTTCCTACTCCCTCCCTTCTCCTTCCTTCTCATCGCCCTCCTCATCACTTATTCGTACTGTGAACATTGAATGTCGTCTTCATGTGATCAGCAGTATCATTACCAGTGTTATTATTATTCGTTTTATTCCCCTCTCATCGTCCTCCTGCTCGTCCTTCCCGTCTCTGTCTTCCCCGTCATCGTCCTCCCGCGCCTCCTCCTCCTCCTTCTCATCCTCCGCTCTCCTCCCTCTCTCTCACTCCTCGGCATCCGTGGGCCAGTTTCGAGGCCCGGGGACCTTCAAAGAACGATCCGGGATGAAACATCTGCCTGATGGACCTGGGGTGGGATCGGCTTTCAACTGAATTCGTCGAGAGGAGGAGGAGGAGCTATGGAGCTGTGGATATTGCGACCATGTCGGGCACAAGCATGAGACTCTGATACATCGAGGTGACTGGCAGACACACATGTGCATGCACAAACGATGCGAGTCGGACATACGAATCTATGTCTGACCTTCAGAGGAGGGGGGGGGGAGGAGGAGGGGGAGGAGGAGGTGGAGGGGGAGACGAAAAGGAAAACTGAGAAGCCTGAGAGAAGGCCTCCCAGAAGAGAAGACCGCTTCGGAGAGGCCGGGCGCCGTGTGCTCGAGGGGACGCACACAGAGGCCTCCCAGCAGAGGGGGTCCGAACAGATGGGGTCGGAGGATCGCGCCGCATCGTTGAAGCATCGGCGACGTCGGCGTGGACAGAATAGCTATCCACATCCAGCTATCCACATCGAGCCGCATCGCCGATGCGGCGCGATCCTCCGACCCCATTTAGAGCGCGTTTCTTGATGTTCGGCGATGACGGGCGTCTTCGGAGGGGGGGGGGGGGGGCGAGGAGGGGTATGACGTAACGCCCCCCCCCCTTGCCGTGTGGCTCCGGCACCGCAGACGCGCCCGCGCGCGCGACGAGCGACGAGCGACGAGCACGACGACGACGACGCGAGCAGCATGTAGGTGGCGACATGCCCCACTGCGCCTGTGTACACCACAACGCTCGCGTGCACCACAGCGCGCGTGTATACCACAGCGCCTGCGTACACCGCAACAACCGTTTGCAACGCAGCGCCTATGTACACCAGTGCTTGCGTACACTACAACCGCAGCTACCATGTGCAACACAGCGCCTGTGTACACCACAATGCTTGGGTGCACCGCAGCGCCTGTGCACGCCACAGCGCGCGTCTACACCACAGCATCCGCGTGCAACGCAGCGCTGGTGTACACCACAATGCCTGCGTGCATAGGACAGGTAGAAGGAGCATGTACGTGAGGATCTGCTGCGGACAACTAAACGCCACGCCAGGAAGCTGCTGATAATCGAATGCGACGTTATTTCCTTCTCCCTCCTCCTTCACCTCCACCTCCACCTCCTCCTCCTCCTCCTCCTCCTCCTCCTCATTTTTCTCGTCCTCCTCCTCCTCCTCCTCCTCCTCCTTACCTCCTGTCGTGCGGTTTGGCCCTACAGCGCACGTGCGCATCTCAGCGCGCACCGCAGAATGGTCTATTGAATCGATCCACTTGGTCCTCGAACGGCCAGTTTAGCTGGAGCCTCGTGGACGCAGATGGGAGGAGTTAGGGTAATGCAGGCGGACTCGGGAGGACTCGTAGATTCCAGCGGCGCTCCGTTGTCCATAAGGATGATTTGTCCTATTGTTTTCTGTGCAATCCACAAGCGCTCCATCTTGTCAGAAAGATTCGTTCGAACATTCTATGTACAACAGTGGGGGGCTGTGTTGCACACGGTTGCTATGGTGCACTCAGGCGCCGTGGTGCACACAGGCACTGCAATGCACGCAAGCATTGTGGCGTACACAGGTGCTGTGTAGCACACGGCTGATGTAGTGTACGCAAACGCTGTGGTGTGCACAAGAGCTGTTGTGTCCGCAGGCACGGTGGCACAAACTGGCGCTGTGTTGCACGCGGCTGCTGTGATGTACATGGGCGGTGTGGTGTACACAGGCGCTGCGGTGCACGCAGGCACTGTGGTGTTCACAAAAGTTGTGGTGCAAATCGCCACCTACATACTGGCGCTACCCGTCCCCCGTCGTTCCTAGGCATTCCCAGACGCCGCCTGCGCGAAACGTGACGTCATCGACCCCCTCCCCCCCCTAGATGATTGCCGTCATCGGCCCGGAATGAGAAACAGGCTTCAACCGCGTCCGCGCGCACGACGACTATGAGCGACGAGCGACAACCCACGAACGACGACGACGACGACGACTGCAGACCAGACTCCTATGCGGATTCCTACGCGGATCCCAATGCGCACGGCAGTGCCCGGAGCGACCTGGGGGGGGAGCGCTACGTCATAAGGGGGGTGGGGGAGCGGGGGCCATGACGCCCGTCAACCCGTCATGCCCCAAGCAATAAAGAAACGGGCTCCTGCTCCGACCCCACCTGGGCGGACCAGAGGAGAGGCGGGTCAGGGGCAGGAGGTGGAGATCCAAGGGACACCGCCCCGACCCGCCCCCCGAAGAGGGAAGCACTGGCCTCAGGCTGGGCCCGCTCCCTCACCCGACCCGGGGCCAGGCCCCTCACTGCGCACCCTCGGTCTGGGCGGCGCCGGTCCTCGCTCCTCCTCCTCCCCCCGCCCGGGCCTCAGCTGGCGCCGCGGCATCTCTCGGAGGTGCGCCAGGGCGCTCGCCCACAGCTGCCCCTTCTCACAGGCGGAGACCTCAGAGCCCCAAAGGGGGATCAGAAACGGAGGGGATCCTCCCCCACCCTCCCTCCCCCTCCCTCCCCCTCCCTCCCCCTCCTCCTACCCCCTCCCTCCGCCTCCCCCTCCATCCTCCCCTTTTCCTTGTAGATGGCCTGTCCCCGTCGCACGACCAGACGTGTCGGTAGCGTGGGCCCTGCGTTTCGCCCGAGACTTCTTCGTCACGTGTGGCCCTGCGGCGCGAATCTCCAGCAGCTGCAAGGCCGGAGGGCGGCTCCCCTCCAGCACTGGGCTCTCGCAGTGGCGCCGCACGCACTCGTCTTGAGAGCTCGCAGCAGGTAGCTGCAGGGATCGATGGGGGGCCCTTTTCAAAAAGGGGGCTGTCGCCTCGGCACCGCAGCTTGCGCAAGAAGTGAGGATGTGCAGACATGGGGGTCCTTTGCCACATGCGGCGTTCGCTTCAGTGCCGCGCACTCGTCGTGACAGTGCCCGACCCGTACGAAGATGGATGGCGGCTCCTTTTCAGCATGGGGCTCTCGCTTGGGAGCTCCTCCGATGTGCCAACGGTCAACTCGAAATCTCATGTGACCTTGCACGAATGGGGGGGCGGTTCCTTCTGGAATCGCGGGCCCTCGCTTCGTAGTCCATCAAGCCAGAACTATGAGCATGTGCAGTCTTACACGGGTCGGGGCTGTACCTTTGCAAAAACGGGGCTCTTGCCGGACACCTCGTTGAACTCTACGATCCAGCCTTCTTTTCGCATTCCGTATCATTCACTCGCCAGAGCGATAAGAATAATCCCTGTTCACAGCGGTTCTCCCCCCTCAATGGCCGGCACACATTGTGTTCCTCTTTCGAGGGGGCGCTTCCGTCGGTAAAATGGACGGCCTGTAGGGCTTTATGAGGAGGAAAATTGGGATGAGAGGGTGCATGTCAGCATGCTGACATACACTCTCTCAGAACCAATGTGAACAATGATGCATCACTGATTCAGTGATGCATCCTTGTTTACCCTGGTTATCCTCCTCCTCCTCCTACTCCCTCTCCTCCTCCTCCTCCCACTCCTCCTCCTCCTCCTCCTCCTCCTCCTCCTCCTCCCGCCTTCCTTGTCTTACTCCTCCGCCTCCTTCCTCCCTGCTTTCCATTCTCCCTCGTCGCTCCTCGCCTTCCTCCCTCCCACTGGGCCCCCACCCCCCTTGTCCCTCTCGTCCTCTCCCCCCCCCCTCTCCTGTCCTC